CAGTGTGTCACACGCTCGTAGGCAGGGGTGAACTGGTGAACACCCGCGTCCTGGAGCGCCGAACCCGCCACCAAGCTCGTAGAGAACGAGGGGAGGTAAAGACCCGACAGTGTGCCGGACTGGACAGCAGGACAAGGGAGGACAGTGGAGGAGGTCGCACGGACTGGACCCCCAGAGGGGTCTGCCAGGGAGATTAGAACCGGCCGATTTAGCGGCGTGAGGGTGGTGCTGTCGCGAAAGAAGGAGCGCGAAGCACCAGAGTCAACTGTGAAGGTGTACAAGGCCTCAGCAGGCGAAGTACCAGAGAGAGCAGACTCACCAGCACCTGGAGCGGCAGGCTCTATACCTGGGTCAGGCGGTACGCACAAGTAACAGGCACGGTCAGCACTAGTAGACAATGCATGCATGGCCGTGAGAATAGCATCATAGTCAAGAGCAAATATATCTACCCTCTGCCCAAGCAGCTCCACCCAGTCGGGGAGCTCAGCCTCGTCGCCAAACTCGGTACGCCAGGCGTCACTCAGACGGGCGAAGCAGCGGGAATGTGTGTGACCAAGCGTCCCGCAAGCCTGACCAGTCCGATCACCTGTGCTAATGACGTACGGGCAGCAAACGGTACTCAAAGACCCTCTACTCTGAGCGTACCACTCGTGAAGCTGCCGGGGCGTAAGTGTCTCGCTTGGACGTCGCTGCAGCTGCAGCTGGCCACTGCCAGATGCTCCCAACTGACCAGGTCCAGGGCGACAGCTACGACGGCTACCGCGACAACCCCAACTAGCGTACTCAGTAAGCTGCTGGGGCGTGAGAGACTCACGCGGACGTCGCTGGAGCTGCATCTGGCCACCGCTAGTAGCAGCGGTAGCAGTAGGAGCAGCAGTAGCAGTAGTAACAGCAGTAGCAGCAGTAGCAGCGCGGCCACCCCTACAACCCCAACTAGCGTACCACTCACTAAGTTGTTGGGGCGTGAGGGACTCACGCGGACGTCGCGGGAGCTGCATCTGGCCACCGCCAGTAGGAGCTGTAGCAGTAGTAGCAGTAGTAGCAGCAGTAACAGTAGTAGTAGCAGCAGCAGCGCGTGCAGGGCAGGCGCGGCAGGCAGGCAGGCAGGCAGGCCGGCAGGCAGGCAGATGGCGCGGCAGCGCGCAAACTAGGCAGGTTGTCACAGGATCGAATTCTCAATCGAAACTTGTCACTAAAACTGAATACAAGGCCTATTTATACTCGGAAAGTACAAGGATAAACGAGATAAAACGAACCTTCGGGAACACACCCTTCCCGATACTACAATCACAAGTGCGCATAAGCACGCAAGTCTATTGGCACTTGGGATTACGCCCAGATTACACCGTATACACCACTGTCGGCGCTGTCGGTGCCGTATAATAGGTATGTCGGTGGAAAAAGTAGGAAATAAGAGAAATAAATAGAAGGCTCTAGAGAATAGAATAGTAGGCCGATTGAGATGAGATAAAGACCAAAATAAAGAGGAGAAAAGGGAGAATGGGATAACGGAAAAATATAATAGTGAGAAAATATTATAACGGGGACGTCCTCTCACACAGGTGCTCACGAGTGGAGGGAAGAGCAGGCGCTCGCCAGGCGAGCAGGGCCGGCGCTCGGCGGGCGGCTGCACGGGGTCCAGGGGCGGCGTCGCGGGTCCAGGGGCGGCTGCACGGAGTCCAGGGGCGGCTGCACCAGGGGCGGCTGCTGCAGGGGCCAGGGGCGGCTGCTCTGGGTCCAGGGGCGGCTGCTCAAGGGTCCAGGGGCGGCTGCTTCAGGGGCCAGGGGCGGCTGCTCGGTGTCCAGGGGCGGCTGCTCCAGGGGCGGCTGCCTCAGGGGCCAGGGGCGGCTGCTCGGGGTCCAGGGGCGGCTGCTCCAGGGGCGGTTGCTGCAGGGACCAGGGGTGGCTGCTCTAGGTACAGGGGCGGCGCTCGAGGGTCCAGGGGCGGCTGCACGGAGTCCAGGGGCGGCTGCACCAGGGGCGGCTGCTTCAGGGGCCAGGGGCGGCTGCTCTGGGTCCAGGGGCGGCTGCACCAGGGGCGGCTGCTTCAGGGGCCAGGGGCGGCTGCTCGGGGTCCAGGGGCGGCTGCTCCAGGGGCGGCTGATGCAGGGGCCGTGGGCGGCTGCTCTGGGTCCAGGGGCGGCGCTCGAGGGTCCAGGGGCGGCTGCACCAGGGGCGGCTGCTTCAGGGGCCAGGGGCGGCTGCTCTGGGTCCAGGGGCGGCTGCTCCAGGGGCGGCGTAGCTGGTGCAGGGCAGCGCGCTGGTCCCACAGGCGCCGTGACGGGCGACGGGGGGCAGCGCGCCGTCACCGGAGGAGGTGACGCGCGGGGCCAGCGGCAGGCTAAAACGGGGCCGAAAAAACGGGCTACGCGGGCGGCGGACGCGGCGCGCAGGGCCTAAGCGGGCTGCGCGCGGGCGGCTTACGCGACGCGCGGGCCGGCGGCAGGCTGCGCGGGCGGCTGACGTGGCGCGCGGGGCCAAAAACAGGCCTAAACGGGCTGCGCTCGGGCTGCTTAAGAGGCGCGCGCGGGAAAAAAAAAAGGGCCGCGCGCGGGCAGTAGGCAAGGTAGGTAGGCACGTGAGGTAGGTAAGAAGTAAACGGTGGGCCCTAATCCTAGGTCCTAAGGACCTATGCTCTATATGCCATGTGAGAATCTTAGGCAAGGATGATGCATTGGGTGAAAGTTGGGGTACAAGACTAGGGTGTCGAGAAGTTTTTTGTACCCCCTAAGGCTAGCCCCAATATAGCCTAAACAATAACAAGCATATATTTTGACATGACTCAGCTGCAACATCTTTCCCTCTACCACTGTGCTTCCCTCGAGATTCTCCCTGAAAGCATCTGCTTCCTCCCCCTCTCCTCCCTCTCCATCTCCTACTGCTACTCCCTCACCGCACTCCCACACCACATCGGCTCCTTGTCCCAACTGCAAACCCTAAATCTCCTCGACCTTGATGATTTCCGGGCATTGCCCGAAAGCCTGGGTAACTTACCCCGGTTAAAAACGCTCCAGCTGAATCTGTCCGCACTAGAGCATCTGCCTGAGAGATTTTGTGAGGGCAGTCTTCCAGCATGCCTGGAGAAGCTGACTCTGTCGCGGTGCGAGAAGCTACAGGAGCTTCCTCCCGCACTGTACAAGCTGACTCGTTTAGAATCACTCAATATCGAGTCATGCTTGCTTATAGTGTCTTTGAAGCCGCTGATCCCTCCAACCTTCCCTGAAGGATTTGGAAGTGAGTCTGGAAGTCAGTCCAGGCTCTCTGTCCCTGCCTCTTCCCCTGCCCCTGCCTCTGCCTCTGCCTCTGCCCCTGCCCCTGCTTCTGCCTCTGCCCCTGCCCCTACCTCTGCCCGTGCCTCTGTCTCTGCCTGTGTATCTCTACCTCTCTTAGACTCTGCAACAAACATCACCGAACAACACCCAGGTCTAGTGTCCCTCACTGAGTTAAAAGTTTCCCACTGCCCACTCATCTCTTCCCTCCCATAAAACCTTTCCTTCCCTGCCCTTCACACTCTCACCTTACACTCCCTGGGCAACCTGAATAATCTCCTGGGCTTATCCAGCAAGCAGCTGCCCAAATAGCAACATCTGGATTTGGAGGGTGTGGGGGCCGATTGAGCCTTGTCTCTGGTTGACTGCTTTCGAAGTGCGGGCTGAGAGAGTGTGGCTTCCGCTCCATGTCAAGCCTCTGTTTGTGCTTCAGAGGCTGCTGGATTTATTTCTGCAGCTGGCTCTGCAGTGGAAATTGAATGGCTGTTCGGTTCTCCAGGGTATCTGCGCTTGGTCGGCTGGTTTAGCTCGCCAGTGCTAAGATAGTCAAACACTTGCGAAACTTTTCACAATGACCAATGATACAGCTCATTTTTCACAATGCATCGTTGCAAGAATCGTCACAAACGAGGATGTTGAGCACGTGATGCGGTTCGATGTTTCCGAGAAAGCGTGACGTGGCGCCAGGGTGTCATGGAATTGTCGAGGCTATCTAGGCTCGAGTGAAAGCTTCGCAAGCCATCCAGGCACACCTTCGTGCCTTTCTTCGGCTCGTACGAGATGCTCGGGAGGAAGTCGGTTCGAGTCTGAAATACCGCTTCAAACCACACCGGCGCCATCAAGGACCGAACTAAATCATCTCAATCCACCTGTTGGAGAATCCGACGTTCCTCCAATGTACCAGAGATAACAATGCACGCAACTAATCCCTACGATACAGAACGAATTTCAGGGAGTTCCCATCCCATGACGCCATTCTTGTATGTTATGCGCGAAGACTCGTTACAGGAGCTCGTTTCGCCGCCCGAGAGCATCGGCGCGCTGCAGCGGCTGCAGGAATTGCGGATCGGCGCGGGAAATAACTTCCGCGGTCTGGACGAGTGCGTGGGCCTTCTGAGCAACCTCCGCACGCTGAGCATTAGTTATGAGCCTTATGCGGAAACTGTCACAGAGCTTCCTGAAGCAATTGCCGACTTACCACGGCTGGAAATCCTACAAATTGACCTGGATGGGCTAGAGAGCATTCCGGAATCTTTCCGACTGCTGACCGGCCTGAAAGCTCTCTCGATTCAATCCAAATGTTTGCAGTTCCTGCCCGAAGATGTTATGGCGGCGCTGACACAGCTGCAGCATCTTTCCATCAACGGCTGTGATTCCCTCGAGATTCTCCCAGATAGCATCTTCTTCCTACCTCTCTTCTCTCTCTCCATCTCCTCCTCCTTCTCCCTCACCTCCCTCCCACACCACATCGGTGCCTTGTCCCATCTGGAAACCCTGCAGCTCCTTGACCTTGATAGTATCTCAGTTTTCCCCGAAAGCCTGGGTTATTTACCCCGGTTGAAAACACTCGAGCTGGGTCTGCCCGCGCTGGAGCATCTTCCCGAGGGATTTTGTGAAGGCAGCCTGCCGGCTTGCCTGGAAAAGCTGAGTCTGACAGGGTGCGGGCAGCTACAGGAGCTTCCTCCCTCTCTGTACAAACTGACTCGCTTAGAATCACTCCACATCGAGTCATGCTCCCGTATAGAGTCTCTGAAGCCGCTGACCCCACCACCCCTCTTTGTCAAAACCGTTCAGGCTGGCTGGCTGAAAGGGTGACCACTGGTGCAGTCTGCACTGCTGAAGTCTTTGCCTTGATGCTGCTGATCTCCATACCGCTCCGCACCGTGCAAGAGCTCATGGCACCGCTCTCCGCCACACACGACATCCGACTTCCGGTGATGCTTGTCCCCATTACAGTGCTCGTTTTTGCTGCCGCAAGAAGCAAGAACACCTTTGCCATCCTTGGGTCGCTGATTCTTCTCGTGGTGGTGCTGCTGATTGCTCTGATTCCCCGTGCTTGGCTCTATCCTGCCATGCTGCTTGCTGCTGCACTGCTGGTGTCCACCTTCCTATGTCTCAAGGCCTGCATCTCTGCCTATCTCTCTGCCTCTGTACCTGCACCAAATATCTCCGAACAACACGCGGGCCTAATGTCCCTCGCCGAATTAAAAGTTGCCAACTGCCCGCTCATCTCCTTTCTCCCAGAAAACTTCTCCTTCCCTGCCCTTCACACGCTCACCCTACACTCCCTGGGCAAGCTGAATGTTCTCCGGGATTTATCCAGTAAGCAATTGCCAGAATTGCAACATCTGGATTTGAAGGGAGTGGGCATGGTGTCAGACATGGTATGGCTAGTTGACTGCCTTCCCGGTGTGCGATCGAAGAGAATGCTGCTTCTGGTGCATGCATTTCCGATGTTTGTGCTTCTGGTGTGGCTGGATATGCTGCTGGTGTGTTTGTGCTTTCCTTTGTTATTGATATTCAAGGGCTGTTCAGCGCTGCAGGGCGCATGCACTTGGTCGGGGATTCTTGCACGGCTACTATTGAGACGTCGCAGAAGTCTGTTGCAACTGGCTTTCTTGTGGATGCGGAAGGGTAATTCAGTGCTGCAGGGTGCCTGGACTTGGTTGGCTGGCCTTGCACAGCAATCGTGCAACGGATTAGCATACGGGTGGTGTGTGGGGAGGTGGAAGAAAACAACCCACTTGTTGTGTTGTGAGTTGTGACTGAAGATTGTACAATGTACAGGCTGGTATATAGATAGATGGTGTAGGAGTTGGTAGACTGTAACATGCTTGTCTGATAGTGTAACTGATATGGACTAAAGCAGCCTTTCAATGTAGGGTTGAAGAGCCATAATATCGAAAGCGAGAGTTTCTTATAATGGGAGTGACCACAAATGTTTACGCTAGAGTCATGCTTGCTACCCGATTCTAATTTTCCTAACAATAGTATGCCCCATAGATTCAATACAGCAGTGCTGACAGCGCCACTGCCAGCAAGGGAAACGCATCAGTGCCAGCAGCAGCACTCATCAATGCGCGGCAACAGCTGCAGCAATCATCAATGCGCGACAGCGGCAACCTTCAATGCGCTGCCAGCACTCGCTCCACCACCAGCGCCAACAGCCACGGAGCTTACAAGCGCACCCACGCCCTCCTTACCAGCAGCGGCCTTGCAAGAACCTGTCCCTGCAGCAACAGCCCGGCACTCGCTACGTGTCTTAGAAAGCATGACAGAGCGCTGGGGGAGTCTTGGGATAGCAGCAGACTTGAAACTGCTGCTGCTGTTGGTGATGCTGCTGCTGGTAGTTGCAATGCTGCCACCAGAGATAGTATCTGCCACCTTAGCATTCTCTGAACCTTCCTTGATCTTCTTCAGACGTCTCCGCTCCAACCTCGCCCCGATGGCCTGGCCAATAACGGATGCCGCTATAGTGAAGGCCATGGCGTATTTCGGCATGAGCGCAGCCTTCCGCAGCACGGCGACCAGCGGAACGGACGCATGCACGGCGATAATCCACTGTGGAGAAAACTTTTCGCAATGCTCTCGCCAAACTCCCAGCGGGATGTTCAGCATCATGCCGATCGTGCCTATAGCGAGTGTTCTTATAGGGAGGGCCTGCGGCCGGAGGGCTTTCATGGCGGATGTTTTGGCGACGGCTGCGCGCATGGCGATGATGGGAGCCGGGCAGCGGTATTGGAATCCGGACGCGGGCTTAATGGCCGCTGCGATGAGAGGCACCACTCGCGAAAAAGCTCGGTAGGACTTCGCGATCGGGCAGTTACCCGACTTGAGCCATTCTTCGCCTTCGGCTTCGTGGACAGTCTCTCGTTCCTGGAAACGACGATAAGCAAGGGGATGAGCGTTCCACGATTAGAATCCAGTTTGAGATCCGTAATGCGGACGGAGAAAGATCGCAATGTTGACGACGTAGAATCGCATGAGACTAATGCTGTCACTGGCTCAACGACAAGGTTCCCAACTAGGGCTATCAGAATTAGCCAACGATCCACCGACCGGTTACCATTGTACAATCTCTCGAGCATGAACCACGCCGAAGCAGCAGCGGACACAGGGATACAACCAGAGTGTAAGTCCTAGCATCCTGAGACATCTGATAAGGGTACACACCTTCGAAGCTTCCTCCTCGCGACGCCTCTTCTCCTCCTGCTCCTTCCGTCTCTGCTGCTCCTTGCTGCTCTCCCCGCGCGATCGGAAGGAATCATAACTGAACGGTCCAGATGGGCCAAACACTGACAGGCTGATCGTCGCCGCTGACGCACCCAGACCGCCTGCGAACGCCGCAGCGTACGGACAAACGTCCTGATCCTGCTCTTCTGCTGTCTCATAACCCATCAGAGAAAAGGCCTGAGTGGTGTCCTTAGCGGTTGAAATGCTCTGTAATGACTTCTTCTCGGCGGTAATCCCGGTAGCATGGAGCGCGGGAATGACGGAAAGCGACTGGCTGATCTGGCCATCGTTGATTTCGCCTGAGTTAACGGAGGCGACGTCGGAAGTCTTCGCGAGAGGGACAACACCCGTTTCGCCGTGAAAGAGCCTGAAAGCGACCTCGAAGGAGGACGAAGTTTCCTCGAAGATGGGATTCTTTCCCGGGAGCGCGGCGGAAGCGGGACAGAGGTCCCCGAGCGAGTGGGAGAGGGGAGCTGAGTGCGGAGAGGACGATGAGAGCGACACGTTTCGGAGGAAAGGACACATCTGAGCGGCATGCTCCATGGCGAGCTTCTTCATATCCATTTTCACGTCACCCGCTAGCAAAAGCACACAATGATCGGCTGAACTGCAGCAGGTACAGAGAAACTATGGCAGCTGTGTTGAAATATGGCAACGAAAGGCGAAACAGACCAACTGACCAGGCAGCTGGAATGAAACCCTAGCTTGGGTGAAAACCAGGCTTGAGAAGAAAGCTGGTTTCAGAAGCTTCTGTTGAGGAAGGGGTTTCTTGTAGAGGGGAGGGGGGCAGGGAGGGAACGGAGGGAATGGAGTGAAGGGAATTATCTTGACGGTCGCTTGGCATATTCAGAGGGCCAACGGTCTCTCCCGCCCAAGGTCTCTTGGGGATGGGTGGGTGGGGTAACCCAACCCAACCCCCTTTGTAAATCCGGAAAAAATATAAACTTCAATCTCGGTCAGGAAGACGAATTGGTCTGAACGGTTCCGTCTGAGCAGACGACGAGTTACCTGACGCTGACACAGCTCGTGTGGGTATGCGACGTCACACGACGGTGCTGGCGTTTCGCGGCTAGCGCTTACAGCGCGAACACTACTGGCGTATTGGTCAACGTCCACGCACGATGCTGGCCACGGGCAGGGTTCCACGTTTGACGGGTAAACGCTCTGAAATTCCGGAGAGTTTCCGGTTTCCCCAACGAAACCTTTCCGGGGCTGTTCCCAACGCTTCGTCGCCCATTCAATGAACGAAAGGACAATCGTACGGTTCGAGGAGCAGGGCAATCCTGCTGCATTTTTCCTGCATTTCCTGGCAATAGGGGAGGGCTAGAGAATGGAAGCACCACGGCCCTGTTCTGTTGGCGCACAGGCCATTCGCAGCTGCCGCACAGGTACTGCGGACATCGTTCTCCTCGAAAGGAAGAGAGGGCCTGCAGCCTCGTCGAAGGCTTTGCTAATCGACAACATTACGAACTTTTTTCTCGCGTGTGCCCGAAAAATGTTGTTACACACTGCCCTGGCACTCTTCCAAAGTCAAATTTTCGCGAATCGATGCACTGGATGTGACAGTCTTACTGGTTAGCCGTTGGATTGTTTTTGGGATGAGTATTCTACCGAAACAATACCCCAAAGCGGGCGTTTATATCTGCCCGTTATTTGTTGTGCGCCTCTTCAATCCCCCCTCGACGAGCGCATAGGGCTCGCATAGGCCATGCGGGAAATTTGCCTGAGAAACCAAGGTCGTGGAATTTTCTCAGCGCACAGAGAGTCCAGCGTTCTTGCGCACGCATGAGTAGTGCGCGCACAACTCCCGCACCAGAGGTTCGAGAGACAATAGCGATTTGGGAGGCTCGACAGGGTTTTAATCCTTGTTATGCGCATTCCGAGAATGTTCAGCGTTAGGGCTGAGCACCCCTTATGCGCCAACAGAACAGGGCCTATGCGGTGTTGTCGTCATTTCCAGCGAGGCAAAATGCGAATCGAGAATGTGGAAGGTGGACCTGCTAGGTGCGTGTGTCAGACAAGTGCGCGGCTGCGGTGGTGTGGTGGTGTCTCAGAAGAGGTGAGATGACTCGTCTAGCCAATGTCGGTGCCACGCGAGTGCAGCGTGCGAATTGGTTTGGGATGGGATGGTAGTGGAAAATACAAGACGTTCCGTGGATAAACTCGAGCACATTCTTTCGTTACAATGATGCCGATTTTTCTCTCATGTACAATAAATTCTATACCACAGAGATGCTACAATCTAGACTTTCAATGCATATTAGACACCAATGATTTTAGCTGACACACCTATTGTATGCACATTATTTTCGGGGTGTGCCGTCATGACAATAAATCACATCTGTTTCAAAAATGTTGGATCATATCACACCAACCAATGTTAGTAACAAATGTAGCATACGCTTTTTGACCCTCATATAACGTCCAAATGGTACAATGTGAACATCATACCCCACACCAGCCATTATTACTCATGCAGCCTGGCAGGCTGGCGGGTTACTAACTCTTACCCTCTGGGATCAGGGTGGCAGCAGCAGCCCAGGGTACCTTCAAGAGGTCCCAAAAGCAAATTGGTAACCCAGTAGATCGCAGCTTCTCATCTCATCCCCTTTTGAAGCAGGGCCGCCGCCGCAGACCATAGCATTTTAGGCAGTTCCACCATTTCCATACTCAAATCAATGTGCGCATCCGCCTCTAAGAAATCAAACTCGCACGGAATCTCTTGCCCTCTACCCACTCCTTGATTGTCGCCTTTCTCGGACCCGTATGCCTGCAGCATGGCAAACGCCAGGTCGATCTGCATTTTAAAAGGCTTGGTAGCTCGGGGATCGTTGGCCAATGGCGTGCCGACAAGTGGCAGCGAGATCCCGTAGTCGAGTGACCCGAGCGTGCCGCCTAGGCACGACGAGCTCACTGCGATTGGCCGGTCCTTGAGCCCTCCAACAGTCACCATGGGGACGTTGAATTTCCGTTTTAAAATGTGAGTTAGAACCGCGCAGGCAGAGAAGCAGGTTCCGTCGGAAACGACCACCATGGGCAGCCCGCTGAAATCATCCGATTGGTCGTACAGCGTCAGCATCTCCATCAGCTTCACCCGGGCAGAATAATTTCCCGGTTGCCCGTCTGTCGAATACTGTAGTTCCTGAAACGGACCGAAATCAGCCGGTCCTTTCAACCCCGCGGTCTCCGCCTCGTTGCAGTAATTCGACGCGTTGTAAAAGAAAGTGGCGCTGCTTTTAATGAGTCGCGCAGTGTACTCGTTCCCAATCATCAGCTGCTGCGGCATCTGCAGCTGCCCGGGTGGGGTCTTAGCAGGCCCTGCCAATGCCCTCACCACACCATAGGCGGTCTGGATAATGCCTCCGCTGTTCCCCCGCACGTCCAGCACAATACGCTTGCCACGCCTGCAAGGGGGATAGCAAGAGTCGGAGTGACAGTGGGTAATTAGAGTGATGGGACTTGAAAGCCTGGATGATGCCTCCGCTGTTCCCCCGGATATCCAGCACAATGCGCTTGCCACGCCTGTAGAGAGGGGAAGAACAAGGGCCGCGGTGACAGGGGGGGTGTTAGCAGGCCCTGCCAACGCCCTCACCACTCCATAGGCGGTCTGGATAATGCCTCCACTGTTTCCCCGCACGTCCAGCACAATGCGCTTGCCACGCCTGTGAGGGATTCAAACAGGGGGCAGAGTTACATGGGTTGAGTGTAATGGCGGTTGTAAACAGCGGCATTAGAAGCGCCAGATCTCAGGCGCTGAGGCACTGCAGTCCCCTTAGTGCTGGAGTGAGCCCAGTGGTGGAGATATCAATCCCCTTGGTGCTGAAGGTGTGCAGCCACACGACTGCTGTCTCATCCGGCAGCAGCAGCACGGGGATCAGAGGGGAGAGGGAAGAGGGAGATGAGGGGGACGAGGTCCCAGGCTCACCTTGTCGCAAGGCTGAGAGCGCGCATTGACTCCGCATAGAGATTTTGTGACGGAGTAAGCCCCGTAGCAGAGACATCCAATCCAGCCACACGACCGCTGTCTCGTCCGGCATACCTTGTCAAAGACATACCTTGTGGCAAGGCTGAGGGCGCGCATGGACTCGGCGTAGAGGTACTGCGAGGGGGTGAGCCCCGTGGCGGATATATCCAAGCCTTTAGTACTAAAGGTGTGCAGCCACACGACGGCTGTTTCATCCGGCAGCAGCAGCACGGGGAACAGATCGCCGTCTGCTGACAGCCGCACCGTCTGCTGCGGGGCGGCTGGGGCGGCAACAGTCGCACCAGCCTCAGGTGCACCTCCCCCAGCAGCAGCGTCACCCACAGTTGAGCCCCCATCACCAGCAGCAGGCGCAGTAGGGTTGAGTCCCTCCTTTCTTCCTACCCCATCCTTCCTTCCTCCCTCCTCCTCCACCACCCCCACCTCCCGCACTCTCAGGGGCGGCGGGTCCAGATCCCGCCTTGGCGCCAGCATACCCACTACAGTCGCATCCGCTATAGGAACTTTCCTCCTTCCAGGCCCCACCTTGGCTGCCACCGCCGTCCCCATTACAGTCGCATCCGCTAAAGGCAATCGCTTCTTCGGCCCTCCTGACCCTACTGCAACGGAAAACCCTCGGAGGCCACCCGCCTTGTTGATACCCAGCTCTCCCTTTTCCTTCGCCAGCTTGTCACCCCCGTTACTAACAACCCCGTTATTATCACCACTTGCGTTCCCACTAACAATACTAATATCATCGACATCATCAGTGCCACCACCACCACCGCCACCACCGTCAGCAGCGGCGGAACCTTCCGTGGTGCTTCCCCCCACATCCTCCCCCTCCCCCGCTTTCCGGCAAAAGGCAAGCCAGTAGCTGCGGCTGTCGCTGAACGCGCCTTGGGGGAAATCCGCGATCCACGGAACCACCACCCTCTCGGGAGCGGAAGCAGGGCTGAAGCAAGCGGAAGGAAGGGGAGAGTTCGGGGGAAAGGGGGAGGTGGGGACTTTAAAACGACGGTGTACATTTGACAAACCAAGGTTCAGAAGCTGTATTTTTTTTAATCCGCAAGTTCTTTCTTTCCCATTGCTCCCTGCACTCACGCGGTCATCATCCCCGTTACTGTGCGGTGTGTCCTAGCGCTACCCTCACAAGATTCGCTACAAGGATGAATCCCGAATCTACACCTTCCAAAAGGGGTAAGTCCAAATCACTCACTTCACGTGGATCAGCATCGTGAGCGCGTCTTTCCGTGGCGGAATGGAGCGCACCGTGAACGCGCCTTGACTCCCGTCAATCTCCCCCAGCCCCTTCACCGTGCGGTGCGCCAGCGCCGCGTTCAAGCGCGCGCCCGCGCTGCGGAACGTCCCCACGTACTTGTCCGCCCACCGTGCGATAAACGGGAGCGCCGGCTCGCCCTCTATAGTCACAACGCGCTTGCCCTCGTAGCGGGAGAAGTTGAATCCGAACAGCCCGCGCGCGATAAGGTCCGGGCGTCCGCGGAGCACTGAGGGGAATGAGGCGCGGGGAAAGCGCAGGGGGAAAGCGGGGCAGAGAGATGAGGGCAAAGCGTAGGGAGGGCGGGATTCAGGCAGGGCGAATCACAGAAGACGAATGAAAGCTTTTGACACAAAGTCTATGCCGGATTCCGACGGAAAACCATACCGAACCACGAAGAAACCGAACCACAATGAACCAAACCGAACAGAACCTAATTTCTTACATTCCGTGCTTCCGACTCGAATGATCTGCTCTCCGTCTTCAACCACGGAGACGAGCGGCAGCGGGAGAGTGTAGAGCCCGACGCCATAGAAGCAATTGCTTGCCATAATTTTACCGAGTTGCACCAAACCCAACCGCACCAAACCGATTTACTTACATTCCTGGCTGCCGACTCGGATGATCTGCTCTCCGTCTTCAACCACGGAGACGAGCGGCAGCGGGAGAGTGTAGAGCCCGACTCCATAGAAGCAATTGCTCGTCATGGATGTATGGCCATCGTTCAACGAGTCGATCGCGCGGAAGATAAGCGAGTGGAACCGCAGAAGACTGTTAATCCCCTCGCCTTGCTCCGCCGTTTCGCGAATCGATTTTAGATACGTTATGATATCGACGTCGCTCGGAAGCTTCGGATCGGGTGATTTTACCGCGAGGTGCTTGTACACGTAATGGTTGTCGAGCGCGTTAATGATTGTGTCTAAAGCGGGGATGTCACGGTCTGCCCGGAAGCGGAAGTTACGTAGGCAGTTTTTCGCTTCCGTAGGGGTGGCGAAACCGACGGACCCATCGACGATGATGTTTTTTTTCGCCAACGCTGCCACGCTCGCCTCTAGTTTATTCGCGAGTGTCGTGCAGGGATCAATTCCGTCGTTTGGATCGCTTGCGGGAGAGGCAAAAGGGATTGCAACGAGGAGAAGGAAGAACAAGACTAGAGGCTGGGCTGAGAGTCGACATGAGCCACCCTTGGATTCTTGTATTGTTCTGGTTACACCATGGATCGATGCGGGCGGTCTTTGGCTCGCCATGGACCTTGATGCGACCATTGTTCGTCGTGCAAGTCAACAAATGCCTAGTTTACTACTCCACTGGGGCTCGTAAGGTAGAGAGATGTGATGCTTGCTTGAATAAAATGGTAAGCAGATTCGCGCAAAGAGCGCTAAGTGCGGAGCTTTTTGAGAGATGGATGGAGTTTCGAGGTATTACTAGCTCACGCTGCTTTTGCTCACAATGTCATGGTGGAGTGATATGTAGCAGATGCGAATTCACCAAATTCGCAAGTGCGAAGGGCAAGGTGATGCACGGCCGGCGGGGCGAAATTGATGCATGGTGCATCAACAGAGCTGCCGCATATCCCAACACGAGGGGCAATTGATAGCACAGATGTTCAGAGAGAGACGGGCGGGCGGGAGAAATGAGTGGTCAGGTTTGGACTGGACTTGATTGGGCTGGGCGCAGTGGGGGGGAAGCAGTGGTGCTGGAGGAGATGGGCCAGAAAGAGCCAGAACCGACCAGGTAGCGATGCACATCGTGGAGTCGCGAATTCTGCTTTCGCAGCGCGAATGCACATTGAGAATGCCAGAGCACATCTGCCGAAGTGCGACTTGACAGACTGCTATTTGCGAGTTTTGAAGCGAAACCAGGAAGAGTTACCACTGCTCTGACCACCCCTGCCTTCGCTAATGCGTCCAGCGGGATGCCTGCGATGGCAGAATTCGTGCTGCAAGATCATGCGAGAAGATGCGACCCGTAATCCGTGTTTGTCGGATAGAACCTGCAAACATTCCCCAATTCCATCTTGATTGGTGCACTCGTGCCGCATTCTGTCTTGAGGTTACCAGGGGATGGCAGTTGAGGGAGAATCTGTACCGTGAGTGAAAGTGCACGCCAGGTTGAACCGATCGAGGCCGTCCATGAGGAACCGTCAGTATTCTCATGTGGAGGACTGTGTTTCACCCGCTACTGTAATGAGTTCCTAGAAATGTATATGATATTCTACACAATACACTGACAATTAAGGAAACATTGATAATCAAGCCACACTATCTTAGACAACCATGATATTCCTTCGTCCTTCTTTTGTTAATTACAAAGCTTCAATACTTCTGAATGGACCTTACACACATGAACCAAGTGCTATTGCCAGCCCAGACCCTCCACAGTGGTGTGCGACCAGATCATCCCCTCTAAGCACGCTTCCCTGTGCGCGACGAGGCCTGGGGCACAAGCACCTTACGGCCACGGGCGCGGCGGCGCTTCAGCACATTGAGCCCATCCTTGGTGGCAATGCGCGCACGGTAACCAGACACTCTGGCGCGCTTTTTGCGGGAGGCGTGGCGCTTGGTGCAGCCAATGCTGGTGCCTCCTGCTCGCACCACCAGCCGAGAGCCCCTTGACACAGGGAACACCATGCGCCCAGAGCTCTCAGGGGAGAGGCGCAGACCTGCAGTTGTGGGGAATTGGGGAGGAGGCATGGGGAAGGGGGAGAGGGGGGGGGGGGCGGCAGGCGGTGAGAAGCGGTAACAAGTGAGGAACGGCGAGAAGGGGAATGTCGCGGATGAAAACGATCTTCCAAATGCTTGGTACAGCCAATGTTGGTGCCTCCTGCCCGCACCACAGGCCTCCTGCCCGCACCACAGGCCTCTTGCCCGCACCACAGGCCTCCTGCCAGACGGGGAACACCATGCGCCCAGAGCTCTCTGGGGAGAGGCGGAGTCATGTCGGCCAGGGTGGAGGGGGAGGGAGTTGAGGAGAGGGGGAAACGGTAAGAAGAAGGATAATGAGTGATGAAGGATGGGAGTGGGTGATGGGGCGGAAGAGGGGGAAGGGGGAGGGGAGATCATAAAACGGCACATTCTCCTAACAAGCAATGCTACATTGATCAGAGCGGAGCCAAGACAGGCTGATTACGTTAAGAATGCCTCCTATAAAGACCATAAAACCACGAACCCTGAAGGCTTCGCGAGTGCAACTTCGCATACTAGTAACCCGCACATGCAATAATAGGTGCTCGGCGCGCTTCATCTCGTATCTCGACTTCGATTCCAATGCGTGTGATTATTAACCTCATGCGTGACCTTGAAAACACCCGTCTCCCAAAGACTTAAACGAGAAGTCACGATTAATCGAGAGCAGGTCGTGTCTCGCCAAACTCTAACCATGAGCGGTATTAACCCTAACCACGCGAGGACTGAGGATTTTGAGCCCAGGAGCAGGGTCAAAGTCCTGCATAACTCGCTTTGCAGTGCTTAGAAACAAATATTACGTGCAGATGACGGGGTTTACGTGCGAGCAATCGCACGCGGAAGATGCGTCGGGGTGAGTGGCTAGGGGAGGACGCGGAGGTGGAGGAACGTGAAAGCCGCTTTCGATAATATCCGCGAAGAGGGGGACCGAGGAGACGACTAGCTAGTGGTCGATGTACCTGCGAGCGAGCACGAGAGGGAGGAGATGGCGGGGCGAGCAGAGACGAGGTCTGATCGCAGCGCGCTGGGAGCGGCCGTCCGAACAGCTGCGAACGAAACGCGGCCGGCGGGACGAGCGGCTTGTAGCGACGCCCGCGCGACGGCGGCGGGCGCGCACGTGACGGCGCGGGAAGAGGCGAGCGCAAACATTGTGGCGGGCACTGATGTTAGGTGGAAGGATATGGCTACTACTGAAATAGTTGCTGAGGAACCGCTGATGAGGAGGAACTAGGAGGATGAGCCGTGGATCAGGGAAGAATTGCAGCAGCAACCCTCAGAGGTGGTTTAGTAAGGCTTTGCTCGGTTCGAATCGGTTGATTTGCGTTCTCGTTAAGTGCTGCAGGGAAAATTGGATGAGGGCGCGGGGAGGGGAGCAAGGAGAAGCGGGGAAAGAGGGGAAAGTCCTGCGCCAGCGTGGCGGTAATTTGAGGTTTCGTGGGATGGCCAGGCTGAGCCACGTGGAGGCAGCCCTGGGAACATCTGCCTGATGGATCTCGCCAAAGAGTTACAGTGGCAAGAATTGTTACCCTAGCTGTTTGACAGGAATCGCTTTGTTACTGGAACGCTCGACTTCGCACAGCTCGTTTAAATTTGACCGAAGAGGTTACAATGAGGTAACCAGTTCGCAATCACAAAACACCAGCACAACCACAAACCTCCCTCTAAACCCTGTGGTTGAGGATTCTTACAACTTGGAATCAGCTTGTTTACACCAGCATTCCGTGGTCTTATTCGGTTCACCTGCACTTCTGCCGTTCCGCACCGTCTTCTTCCCGTCCTCCGCTTCGACTTACAGCCCCTCGTTCGCGGTGTATCCGTCGATTCTGTGAGTGATTTCGGCCTCGGCCTCCGGTAGCGTAATTCGCGGCGATGAAGGGGAAGAAGCGGGGTCGCGTGGCGGCGCAGCAGCAGCAGCGCCTGCACCTGAAGGCGAAGGGCATGAAGGTCTCCACGAAGCACGGCGGCGGCGGTGGCGGCGGCGGCGGCGGCGCGGCGCACGCGACGACGCTAGAGCAGGAGATGGACGACGAGTTCCTTCTCGAGCAAGCCGCCAAGCGGCGGCGCGCGCCGAAGCAGCGGCGGCGGCAGGGAGAAGGGGAGGGGGACGAGGAGGGGGTGATCGGCGCGGGGATGAGCGCGCGGATTCTTAAGGAGGCGCGCAAGCAGCAGCAAGAGGTCGCGCGGGAGATGTGAGTGTTCCCGTGATCACCATTTTGTGATTACCAGAATCTTGAACAAAATGGTAGAACCTTCCTAGTCCCCCTCACCCTCCCGCGCAACTAACGGAATCCCGTGCAACTCCATTCTCAATACTTAACCTTTACCCCGAACCCTGCATCTTCCAACCCTAACCCTGCTTCGAAAAATCCCGAATTTCAGACCCTGGAAGCCCTAGTTGGTTTTACACCTGGACTTACACCTGAAACCCTGCATTACGTTACATTTCGTTACTCGCACGAAATTCAATCATATCCATTGCATGTCCTGTCGCGATACCCTCAACGAGCACCTCTGCATCGCACGTTTTGTCGCGACCTGCAGGGAGAAGGAGCGCGGCCTGGACGGGGCGCGCGAGGCGTTCGATCTCGCCGCGGCCGTGGCGGCGCGGGAGCGCGAGCAGGAGGAGCGGGAGGAGGAAGCGGGGGAAGAGGGGGAGGAGCTGGAAGTGCGGGATCCAGATGCGGCGGCAGCGGCGGCTGCGGACGTGGAGAAAATCCTAAGTGACGCGAGACGAGGGCGGGAGGATATAGAGGACGGGGAGGAGAGGGAGGAGGGAGAAGCGGAGGATGACGAAGATGATGAGGATGGGGAGGATGGCGCGTTTTCAGAAACGGCGAGCATGTATAACGATGCTGTGGTGAGTCGGCGGTAAAGGTAAAGGAGAAGGGAGAGTCAGAGGAGGATGAGGATGAGGATGAAGGTGATGAGGACGGGGAGTATAACGATGCTGTGGTGAGTTGTTGGGTCGAAACAGCGAGTGTAAAAGACATCTTCCCCCGCTATTCCCTCCCCACCCTCTCGGTCCCTTCCACCCTTTCCCCCCAGCCTCCCATTCCGCGCGCTGCCTTGAACAATCGTGCTGCCTTGTTGCCCCGTGGCACCTGAACTTGCCACGTGTTCTTGTGTGATTGGCTCCGTGGCAGGCGGACGAGGTGACGGAGGAGGACGAGCGGGCCATCGCGGTCTTCCTCGCAGGGGGAGGCGCGGCGCCACGTCAGCGCACGCTGGCTGACGTCATCATGGCGAAGATCCAGGAGGCGACAGCTGGCGGGGCGGCGGGGGCAGCTGGGGGCGCGGGCGGCGGGGGGGGTGTGAGAGGGGGGGAAGGGGGTGAAGAGGCGGAGAGGCGGATTCCAGGAGTGGATGAGAAAGTGATGGAGGTCTATCGAGGGTGAGTCTGGCTTACAGGGTGTCTTTGAGAAAGTGATGGAGGTGTACTGAGGGTGAGTGTAGTGAGTCTTGACTGCAGGAAAGAGAGTACATTATGAGAATATGAAAAATCACCTGGAAGTGAATGAGAAAGTAATGGGAGGTGTACCGAGGGTGAGTCTGGCTTACAGGGTGTCTTCGAGAAAGTGATGAAGATGTACCGAGGATGAGTCATGCCTGAAGCTTTGCCATCCCTTTCCCCCCCTCCCTTCCCATCCCACACCTTCCCTTCCCCTCGCCTCCCCTCCCCTCCCCTCCCCTTCCCGCCCCTCCTCTTTCCTCTCGTCTGCCCTCCTCTTCCCTTTCCTGGATGTGAATGTACTTGAGGCTTATCAAGGATGATAGTCCTTTCCCTCATTGCCCACCCCTCTACATTTTCCTCCCTCAGTCCTCCTTTTCTCCTTTCTACTTCCCCCGTCTCTCCTCTACCCGTGCCTTCCTGCCGTCAACCCCGCAGGGTGGGGAAGCTTCTGAGTCGGTACCGGTCCGGCAAGGTCCCAAAGGCTTTCAAGATCGTGCCAGCACTTAGCAACTGGGAGGATGTGCTCTTTCTTACAGACCCTGACAGCTGGACGCCTGCTGCTGTCTTTGCCGCCACTCGTCTTTTTGCGTCGAATCTCAACGCTCGTGCCGCCCAGAGGTTTTACCGGCTGGTGCTGTTGCCGAGAGTGCGTCGGGACATTAGGCTTAATAAGAAGCTGCACTTTGCACTGTATCAGTCGCTCAAAAAGGCGGTTTATAAGCCTGCCGCATTCTATAAAGGGGTGTTGCTGCCGCTGTGCCAGTCCCAGACTTGCACGCTACGGGAGGCGGTGATTATAGGGAGCGTCATTCAGAAAGTCTCGATTCCCGTGCTGCACTCCAGGTGAGCTTTATCGATTTTACCTTCTTCGTTCCTTTCTTCCTATTCGCATGCCGTCATTTGCACAAATCATGACGCGCAAGTATGTGGCTTGACTGAATCAACCTACCTTTCTTGTTGTCACATCTTGCAGTGTTGCCCTGATGAAGATTGCAGAGATGCAATATGCTGGCACAAACAGGTGAGCACTGAGTATTATAAGCCATGAGCAGTGGAATCAACCTAAACTGTGATCATTGCATTGGCTGGTGAACATTGTTGGAGTGAAACCTTGCATTCAGCACTACAAGCCAATAAGCTACAATCATGACATGTCTCATACATTCTCCCCTGCTTGAACAGCTACTTCATGAAGCTTCTGCTGGACAAGAAGTATGCCCTGCCATATCGAGTCATTGATGCGGTGGTTGGACACTTTTTGCGCTTTCGCTCTGAGACCCGCGAGCTGCCAGTAATCTGGCACCAATGCTTGCTCTCCCTTGTCCAAAGGTATTTTTCATGCTAAGGATTCAACGTTTTTCTTGTTTGTGTTTGCGTCTGTTTGCGCAAAGTTCGTTGATTTTCTGTTACCACATGTTTCCTGCTTATTTGTGTTGCCTAACAGGTACAAGAATGAGTTGACCCAAGAGCAAAAGGCTGATATCAAGTCTCTCATCACCAGCCGTCAGCACCATCACTTGGTACAGATTCATGCAAGCCATTGTGACAGTGTTGCTGCTGCATCACTTTTCACTCAAAGCAGGGGAAGGAAAGTTTATGTTTTACCCTCTGTCTGCTTCCTGTTGTATGCAGATGTCACCAGAGGTGCTTAGAGAACTCCAAAGTTCTACCCGGTCCCGAGGGCAGCCTGATGCTGCATTGTTCACGTTCTCATCCGATGCCACAATGAGTAAGTTCACGTGTGCATCACTTGTTTTTTTCTAGTCCCCATGATTGCACTGCACTAGTGACGGGTGTTCGTGTTCTCTGTTTCAATTGATGCAGGACCATTGGTTGTCACAAAGCCCTTGGAAGATGACTTCCGTAATCTTCCTGAAGTCCACATTGGGATGGATGAAGACTAATGAGGGGCACTGCTGCTAATGAGAAAAGCAGACAAGGGACTTGATGGTCATCATCGCCTCTGCCATTCCAAATGGTTCAAGCCTCGAGGCAATTGTTTGTGTGCAAGAAAGAGATGTTATTTGCATTGTAGCCCCCATGTTGTCTGTTACTAAATAGTGTAAACATTCAGCTGTTTCCACAGGTTATTCAAGAATGGCTTGCAGAATAAGTCTTGTGAAGCCGTGAATCTCGTCCTGGTCCTGATTGTTCATTGCACAAACTGCAAGGGGCGTTAAAGGTTAACCAGAGGTTCCCACAGCCAGCCAACTGTAAAATCTTCCGACTTACCCCATTGGAGCACCGGGAACAATGCTTGCTTTTTGGGTACGGAAATAAGGTAGGCAACAACCTGAAGGTTTCATAAGTGAAGCATGTTTTCTCAAAGCCATCACACTCTCCATGACATCAGACTGGTCGCTGCACTCACAATGATGGAGGCAGGCAGTGCTGCTCGAGACAGATGTTGGCGTAATTTGGAATCAGAGTGCATCAAGGTGTAAATAGTGAAGCACGTACTTAGTTTGATGAAGTCACCAACACGAGAAACTCGCCTGAAACAGAAATCGATGTACAGTTGAAAGCAGCAGTAAGCGAACATAGAGAGGAAAACTGGCAACTAGCCTGAGCTCTCTCAGCAGGTCCTCCAGGGCTGAAGGACATGACCTTCCTGTCTCAATCTCAAAGTTTATCGTCTGCTCAATGCAGCGGTATGTCTTGTCAGGGAGCTCATGCTGCCAGAAGCATTATGGCAGATATGGAAGATTCTTACCCCCAGAAGCTCAATCTCCTGAAATCAGTAATAGGGCGATAAGGAACACTGTTATAGTACCAGGTGAGAGCATACATTTGTCGCAACTTACAGCATTCACGAAGTCCTTAGCAGTGTAAACTTTGTCGCTGATGATTCGGGATGAACAAGCCTTCAGCTCCGTCAAGGAGATTTGCTGAGTTTCAAACATCTGCACTACTGGCGCGTAAGACTCGTATGGGGACGGATGTCGGAATTACCAGCATAATAGGCGTCTTACCTTGCTTCCAACCCACAGTAGGACCAATGTCAGAAACAAGCAGTCTGACCGGTCGGGCTGGAGGACAGTTGACGCATTTAAGATCCTGGTCGTCGGAAACAATATTACATCAGTTATAGACCTTCTTAATTCGCCATGTGTTATCACCTTTCAGGACTGTCTGCGCATTCAGCCTCAATTGTATCCAAACGTCTCGCGAGCTTGATGAACAAAGAGGCAGCACACCACCTTGTACATTGCGATATCGGGTTTCCACTTCTCGTTTTTATCTGAGGATTCAAAGTCAGGCTTCATGAAAGCCCAAACTAGGAACACGAGGCATAACTCAAGATATTACCTGCATTTGGAATGTAAGGGCCAGGCATTCGTTGGCCACCGCCTCTGGCACGCGAGCAGAAGCCATGACTGCTTGTGCTTGATGGCAAGTAAATCACAAGCAATGTTAGCCACAGAAGTGTGAGGGAGAGCCTTGTTCTGCAAAATGAGATCCAAATATTTTGGCCTGTCACCAAAAGTGCATTTGCGAAAGGGCCACGTCTTTCCGGTAATATGATTGGTTCAGAACCTTCTCTTTCGCTGGCTTCTGCTGTCCACCGCAGGGATTTTCGATTCGTCGAATCAACGTGGCGTTCGCGAAACCTCTTCGCTTCCTCGGGATCTCCCTCTTTCCAACATTTTTCACACCGATCACTGAATTTTCAACTTTGCCAAATCACGTTCTCCTCCCACATTCTCAGCATTCCTAGACACAGGTTTCTCATCCCCCCAGCTACAACTCTCAGGTTGTCAAGTCTTTCCTGATCGGAACGCCGGATAGCAATTCAGATTCGCGTATTCGACCAGAGTCAGCTGGTACCGTGAAGCCAGAACGCCGACCATGGGTCCGCGTCGGATTAGTTCCGAGAAATTAAGATGGCGAATGGTATTGGGGGTAACTCTCACAATTCTAGCGCTGGTTCCGTTCGTGAGCGGAGCGGTGTTCACGGTTGACCTGGGTTCGGAATCCATGAAGGTCGCTGTGGTCAATCCGCGGCCCGGTCAGAGTCCGATCTCGATCGCGATCAACGAAATGTCGAAGCGGAAATCTCCGTCTGTCGTGGCGATATCCAACGGCGATAGGCTCCTGTCAGAGGAAGCCGTTGGAATCGCTGCGAGGTACCCCGATCGCGTGTACACACGAGCAAGGGACATGGTCGGCGTTCCAGTAGATGAGGTTAAGGAACTACTAAAAAGCAGCTATCTTCCGTACGATGTCGTCGGAGGGGATGGGAGGCCGGAAGAAGAAACGGAAGACGACTCAATGGAGTCGGAAGTCATCAGCGAGGTGACGTCAGATACAGACGGCGACTCGGCTTCGGAGCGGTCGTCAGGCAAGGACAAGGCGAAGAAATTGAAGCGGAAGCGTCCGGTGCGGATTCGAACCCACGACCGCTCGACGGAGTACTCCGCTGAAGAGCTGCTCGCGATGCAGCTGGGTTACGCCAAGGGACTAGCGGATGCTCACGGAAGAACGGGGATTGTGGACGCTGTCATTAGCGTTCCCGCGTACTTCTCCCAGAGCCAGAGGCAGTCGATTATTGACGCTGGCGCTCTGGTTGGCGTGAATGTGATGGCGTTGATTCAGGAGCATGCGGGAGTTGCGCTGCAGTACGGCATGGATAAGGATTTCAGCAATGGCAGTCGACATGTGGTTATCTTCGACATGGGTGCCACGTCGACCTATGCGGCCGTGATTTATTACTCGGCGTACGCGACGAAGGAGCGCGGGAAGAGCATCACTGTGAACCAGTTTCAGGTCAGTCGAGCGCACCAATATCCTGTCTTTCTGATTCGCTAGCAGAATTTCCTGCTCATCTGTCTTCGTTGGCCTACTCATCACTTTCCTCATCGCTGAACTCAGTTATTTTGTGTCCTTGTGTCCTTGTCGCCAACAAGTGAGATGGCTCAGACACGGGCTTATGTTCAAATTCAGAGAAAAAAACTATACCCGTTGCACGCGTCAAATGCGACCTGCGCAGGTGAAATCCGTGAGATGGAACGCGGATCTGGGGGGGCAGACGCTGGAGGCGCGCATGCTGGAGCACTTCGCGGACGAGTTCAACGCGAAGCACAGCGGTGTGGAAATCCGCACGTCGCCCAAGGCCATGGCGAAGCTGAAGAAGCAGGTGAAGCGCACCAAGGAGATCCTCAGCGCCAACTCCGAGGCCCCCATCTCTGTGGAGTCGCTCTACGATGATCATGACTTCAGGTATGAGGCTAAGGCTTGACAGAGGCTGAGATGTCGGATACTATCAGGGTTTTGAGGTTGTAAAAAAGTTGTGCTGAGAAGGATGAGCATTTTCAAAAATTTGAGTCTGAACACAGGTGAAAGCACATGCGTTGGAAGAGTTGCATCCAATTGGTCCTCTCCACATCAAGATTTTGCTGTATTGTGTGTTGCTTGCGTTGTATGCATGGCACATTGCAGATCATCCATCACTCGGGAGAAGTTTGAAGAGCTGTGTGCGGATGTGTGGCCTCAAGTGGTGGCACCGCTGCAAGGGGCGATAGCTGACGCCAACATCACCATGGACGACATCTATGCCGTGGAGCTCGTGGGGGGAGCGACTCGTGTTCCTAAAGTGCAGGTGAGTAGTGGGCTGGAGAGAGACATAGGTGAATCGCTGCAAGGGGCGATAGCAGGCGCCAACACCACTGTGGACGACATCTATGCCGTGGAGCTCGTGGGGGGAGCCACCCGTGTGCCCAAAGCTCCGGTAACCATCGTGGTTGAGCCAAGCACCACACGCAGCGTGGCACGCATGACCAATACGACTAGAATGAACTTGTAAACCTCACAGTACAACTCTATCCCCATTTCCTCCATGCCCCATCTGTGCCCCCTCTTCCTTGTCCTCACCTCTCACTGGGTAACCTTCTCCTCCCCACATATCCTGGGTCTGATTCGATTTGGCCTGATCGTATTGGATGCAGTCTGTGCTGACGGAGGCACTGGGTGGCAACCGCTCGCTGGATCGCCACCTGGATGCTGACGAGGCGCTCGCTCTAGGCGCGTCCTTGCTGGCAGCGAACCTGAGTGACGGATTCAAGCTCAACCGTCGGATCGGCATGATCGACGGGCTGCCGTTTGCTGTCAAGTACCGGGTGGAGCCTTTGCCTGTGGATGCGGGTGCTGGGGGTGATGGTGGGGCTGGCGAGGCAGTGGATGGATCAGAAGGGTCTGTGGTGGAGGAGATGCTGTTTCCACGATTGAAGAAGATGCCCATTAAGGTACGCTGTAATACATACTTCCATTTCTTAATTTCTCGGAATGTTGTAGGGATTACATTTGAGGGGTTGCATGATTGGGTGTGTGTAGCTATGAATTGCAGTAGGTTCACCTATAACGGATAATTTAATGGGTTTACCTGCTGTACCCTTACCCCTTCCATTGCTCTGCAGATCATCCGGTCGCTGAAGGAGCAAACGAGTGACTTCACCCTCTCGTTCCTGTACGATGATTCACAGGGCCTGCCCCCCCGGTGGCCCAAGGGTGCTCCCATTTCCACTCTGCACGTGTCTGGCGTGGCCAAGGGCATTGCCAAGTGAGTGTTGTGGTGGGATTGGGACGGGTTTGGGTTGTTGTCCTTTACCATAAGACACAGGGCCTGCGCCACCGCCATTCAAAGAATGTGGCCTGCCATCCCATCAGGGCGAGTCAGCAATTCCACCTCACTCGCAGTGGCACAGAGGGGCTGGAGAAAGGAGAGCTCGTCGTTGGCTTTTCTGAATGGATTGAGGTGCCGGTCATCCCGCCCCCGCTCCCTCCCAACCCCCCTCACCCTCCAGGTACTCGGGGTACAACCTGACTCATCCCAACAGGGCGAGTCTGCACGTCCATCTCACGCAGCGGCACAGTGGGGTTCGAGAAGGCAGAGCTGGTCGTTGACTTTTCTGAATGAATCCATTCACGTGCGCTCTGCACACCATCCCCTCCTCACCCTCCAGGTACTCGAGGTACAACCTGACGCACCCCATCAGGGCGAGCCTGCACTTCCACCTGACCGCAGCGGCACAGTGGGGCTGGAGAAGGCAGAGCTGGTCGTTGACTTGTCTGAATGGATTGAGGTGCCCGTCATCCCAACCCCACTACCCGCCTCCCCTGTCACCCCCCTCACCCTCTCCCCCCTTTAGGTACTCGGGGTACAACCTGACGCACCCCATCAGGGCGAGCCTGCACTTCCACCTGACCCGCAGCGGCACAGTGGGGCTTGAGAAGGCAGAGCTGGTCGTTGACTTCTCTGAATGGATTGAAGTGCCGGTTATCCCGCCCCCGTCCGCTGCCAACGCCACTGCTAACGCCACTGCCAATGCAACTGCGAATGCCACTGCTGCCAACGCTACTGGTGACGGTGCTGCGGGTGGTGCTGGTGATGATGGGTCAGAGGCAGCTGCAGCGGAGAAAGATGTTTCAGCAGGAGAGGGCAGCAGTGACGTTGGGAGCGAAGGCGCAGGAGAGAAGGGAGAGGGCGAGAAGGGTGGAGAGGAGGCGGGGAAAGACGGGGAGAAGAAGGGGGAGAAGGAAGGAGAGAAGGAGGCAGAGGCGCCTAAAGTGCAGATGAGGAAGAAGCTAAGGAAGAGGACGATCAGGGTGCCTCTGCAGGTGTCTGATACGACTGAAGGGTTCCAGCGCATGATGACGGACGAGGAGATGACAGATGCCGAGATCCGATTGGACAAGCTGAAGAAGAGGGACGAGGAGAAGCGAGCCGTTGCTGAGGCGAAGAACACCCTGGAGGCTTATATCTACTCCATGAAGGATAAGGTGAGTGCATGAAATGGCATGCAAGGGTAAGGTGAGTGTGAGAGACGAGGTACAGTGGGAGGAGGGGAGAAGCGGGCTGTTACTGAGACGAAGAACACTCTGGAGGCTTATATCGACTCCATGAAGGATAAGGTGAGATGCGAGGAGAGATGTGAGGATAAAGGGTGTGAAGGCAGGGGGTATAGGAGAAGCGGGCTGTTGCTGAGGCGAAGAACACCCTGGAGGCGTAAATCTACTCCATGAAGGATAAGGTGAGCGTGAGAGGCGAGGTACAATGGCAGGGTGGAGAGAAGAAAGGCGAAGAACACTCACGAGGCGTATATCTACTCTATGAAGGATAAGGTGAGAGAGGGACATGGGGGGGTGAGACGTGAAAGAGACATGGGAGGACAAGTGGGGGTGAGAGAGTGGGGAGAAGAGAGGCTCTGATGAGGCGAAGAACACTCTGGAGACGTATATCTACTCCATGAAAAATAAGGCGAGTGGTGGGGGACGGTGGAGAGTCGGGACGAATGCGTAGGTTGAGAGGGATGAGGCGGAGCGCTGTTGCTGAGGCGAAGAGGCACATTTTTTGAAGGCGCATTTTCGCTCACCACATAGCAGCAGCACAAGTTGCTGTATCCTCACCCCCCTTACCCGCCCCCTGCCCTTATCCACCCTCACCTCCCCGAATAACCCTCACCTTACAGATGGAGTCAGAGGAGGATCTAATTAGATTCACCACGGAGCAGCAGCGCGATGCTTTTCTCACATCCTCACCTTCGACACCCTCCTTACTTCTTCCCCTATTAACCATGACCAAACAGATGGAATCAGAGGAGGATCTGATCAAGGTCACCACGCAGCAACAGCGCGACTCCTTCCGCTCCCAGCTAGTTGATGTACGTCTCCCCAGCTCCGTCTCGCCTGCCATTCTGTGCTCTGCTGCACTTTTGAGTCGACTCAAAAGTCATCTCCTTCTGCTCCCAGCTAGTTGATGTACGTCTCCCCAGCTCCGTCTCGCCTGCCATTCTGTGCTCTTGATACCCGTGTTTACTTCTTTAGCCGATCCAGTAAGTTCTCTGCTGCTGCTGCTGCTCTTGGCCCAATGTACGCCTGTCCCGCTTTCCCGCTTTACCAAAAGTGTGGGGAAGTGTCCTTTTCCACTTGCCCGCTTCGCCTCCCATTCTGTGCTCTGGATACCCGGATCGTCAAGGCAACTTTATTGATTGCAGTGGAATAGCCTAAATCGTTGTACCATGTTCTGCATGCATGTGCACGTGTATGTGCATGGGTATGGACATGGGCATGCGGATGTGCCCGGGCATGGCATGGGCATGGGTATGGGACTGGGGAATGGGGCATGGGCATGGGCATGGGCATGGCAGGCCGAGGACTGGCTATACATGGATGGGGAGAACGCCAAGGCAGCAGAGTTCAAGGCCAAGCTGGGTGACCTCAAGAAAACCGGAGATGCCTTCATGTTCCGGTCAGTGCTTGCTTCGGGAGTGGAGCCGTTCCACTCTAGGCATTATCTGTCTGTCTTCTTTTCCAGTCAGCAATCAAATGATGCTTTATTCCGCTTTTCTCTTTGACATAGCCACTCCTCCCCTGCCCTACCCCCAATCTCCCACCCCTGATTCCCTGACTCCTACTTTTCTCAAGCGCCGCAAGAAATGACACCCCTGAACCCCTTATGCCCTGTTGCTCTTCTTCCTATTCTGCAGCAAGAACGAGCTGACTGCTCGCCCTGCTGCTGTCGGTGTTGGCCGTTCCTTTGCCGACTCCACGTATGATGTACGTTCACCTCTTCCCACTGCTCGGCACCACTTAGCATCCGTCCGCACCGCACACCACAGTTGCAGTTCATTGCCTTCAACAGATGTTGGCTGTTTGCTGTGGACCATCAGTTTACTGGAATATTGCACCCAGTGCTCCAGTCAAACTGCGTCTGGGATACAAGTTTAATCATCACTATGAATATGAATATTAGTAGCAGTATGTTGCAGTAACGAGTGAGCATGTTTTTTTCTGTTCACGCTGCTCCCCCCGCCCATCCATCAGCTACTGGAGTCGTGGAGAACCGAGAAGCCATGGTTGAACGCCACCACTGACATTGACCCGGTATGTGCGAGCGGTCTTGAGTATTCCTGTCTGTGATGGGGTAGAGAAGTGCATTCAACAGGCTTCAGTGAGTCATGGAGAACCGAGAAGCCATGGTCGAACAGCACCACTGACATTGACCCGGTATGTGTGATCATGGGTATACTGTGTTACATGGATGTGGAATACGTGGTACCTGACTGATAGTGGGAGGTAAATTGAACAGCTGTGGTGAGTCCAACAGGCGTTGGAGTCGTGGAGAACCAAGAAACCATGGTTGAAATATATGTACGTATGTGTTGTTGATAGGCATAGCAATTGACCATGGCTTGGTGTCACCAAGCGGGCTTGACTCCTCTTGGTGTGACCATGTCAACATTGACCCAGTGTGGTGTGACCATATCAACAACGACCACGTGTGTGAACAGATACTCCTCTCTTGAAAGCTATACTAGTATGTGCTGAAGCCCAGGTGTTGCCTGACATAAGGCCTAAAATTTCCCTCTGACTTTTTCTCGCTCCCGCCCTCTCCCCCTCTCACCCCTTCCCCATGTGTGCACCCAGGTTTTGTCTGACGTGGAGGGCTTTATTAAGTGGCTTGACGAGAAGACAGCAGCTCAAGCCAAGTGAGTTTGTTGGCCTTACATGCTAGCCCAAACAAGTGACTCCCTTGAGAACTTGCAACGTGTAGGAAGGTCAGAGCTATAGGATGAAAAAAAATCTCTTTTCCTCGCCCCCCCTTCGCCAATCAGCCTCAAATGCTAGCTCCATCCACCACTCTCTTCCCGTTTTCCTACCCCATCCCCCTTCCTCTTCCACCTTTCTCCACTTCCCACGATCTGCTACTGCTGCTGGGTACAGGAAGCGTGCTCATGAGGACCCAGCCTTTTCATCGAAGGAGGTCTACAGCAGAGTGGATACCATCGAAGCCAAGGTACTTTGCCGCTCAGGTTCTGCATCTCGCACTCTCACTACCTGTCATACCGAACCATTCATGACCCAGCCTTTCCATCCAAGGAGGTTTACAGCAGAGTGGATACCATCGAAGCCAAGGTACTTTGCTGCTCAGATTCACACCGCCTCACATATACCATTCATTAAAACCATTCCCTTCATTCAAGGAGGTCTACAGCAGAGTGGACATGATCACACACACCACTCCCCTCCTTAGTGCCTCATTCCTTCGCCTATCCCTCATTCCGTCTCCCCCTCTTTCCGCCTTCCCCTCAGGTGAATCGTGTCAAGCGAATCCCGAAGCCGAAGCCCAAGAAGGTTCCTGCACCTCCCTCTTCCCGCAACGCCACCACCAGCAACAACACCACTGGTGCTTCTGATTCTACCACTGAAACCCCTTCCTCCTCTTCCACTAAGGACAAAAGTGCCTCCCCGCCACCGGCCGGCGGTGAGGAGAAAGGAAAGGGCGAGGAGTGGAAGGATGTGCGAGATGAGTTGTGAGACTCGGAGCGACACATCGGCATGCCTGCTATGGTAACATCGGCACGCCTGCTATGGTAACATCGGCACGCCTGCTATGGTAACATCGGCACGCCTGCTATGGTGTGGTAACAATGCCTATGTTGTACTGTTTTAATGTTTTGGAATTACGGAGGCTAGCGTCCACCTCACTGGCCTGCTGTCAAATGTTGTAGCCTGTAGTGAGGTTTGTCTTAGGGGGTACAGAAGTTAGGGTTTGTCATATGTACCCCAACCAACATCAATGGCACACTCATTCCTCATTCTGACATGGTATCAGCTAGGTTAGGATCCTGTGGGATCCCGTTCCTCCGTTCTCCGTTCGTACCTCCTGAGCCTGATCCTACCTCTCGTTCGTACCAGTTTCGTTGTTACCGCGCCTAGTACCGAGCCTAGCGCCATCCCCCCCGTCGCGTCACGCCCGTTCCCCCCCGTCGTGTCGCGCCCGTTCCCCCCGTCGCGTCGCGCCCGTTCCCCCCGTCGCGTCGCGCCCGTTCCCCCTGTCGCGTCGCGCCCGTTCCCCCCGTCGCGTCGCGCCCGTTCCCCCCCGTCGCGTCGCGCCCGTTCCCCCCGTTGCGTCGCACCCGCCTGTTACCCCCCCCGTCCCGTCGCCCTGTCCCGTCGCGTCGCCCTGCCCTGTCCCGTCGCCCTGTCCCGTCGCGTCGCCCTACCCCGTCGCGTCGCCCTGCCCTGTCCCGTCGCCCTGCTCCGTCGCGCCGCCCTGCCCCGTCGCGTCGCCCTGTCCCGTCGCGTCGCCCTGCCCCGTCGCGTCGCTCCCGCCCTTTCCCCCGTCGCGTCGCCCTCCCTAGGCCCTGGCCCGTCGCCCTCCCTAGGCCCTGGCCCGTCGCCCTCCCTAGGCCCTGGCCCGTCGCCCTTCCTAGGCCCTGGCCCGTCGCCCTCCCTAGGCTCTGGCCCGTCGCCCTACCCTAGGCCCTGGCCCATTGCCCTACCCTAGGTCTTGGCCCGTCGCCCTAGCCCGCTCTTCCGCTGCGACTGAGTCCTCTTCCCCCCCGGTTGTTACTCGCCTGTTCGTTCGCGTTAATTCTCACTATGGCGACTCCGCGAGTTCTTCGTTTCGACGCCGACGGTAGACCCCTTGACTTTTCCGTCTGGCTTCTTCGCGCTCGTCGTCTGTTAGAGAGTCAGGTCCAGGGGGGCGAGACCCTCTGGTCACACGCTACTGGTGACCTCCCCGAGCCCCCCGAGCCTACAGCTTTAGGCCCTGCTCCTGACGACGCTGCTACGGCTCGCTTTGCCCGTCAGCGCGCTGACCGGACGGCTTGGACGTCGCGTGACGCTGCGGCCTGCATCGCACTCAGCAGCCTCCTCCCTGAGTCCGAGGAGGTCCACTTTACTCAGGTTCGCACCGCTGCTGCGTACCTCACTGTGATTAAGGCCCGCTACTCTACTCCCGCTACTGTCTCTCTCGGCCGTCTTTTCCTCCCGTTCCTGTTTCCTGATCTTGCCTCGTTTGAGCGCTCTGCTGACTTGATCGCTCACCTCCGCTCGCTCGACGCTAGTTACCGCGCTGCTTGCACTGAGGCACAGCTTGCACTGCTTCCTCCCCCCATGGCGATTACTGTCTATTTCATCGCCACTAGCCTCCCTGACCGCCTTGCCTCCGTTCGTGACGCGCTTCTGCTGAAGCACCCTAGTGAGCTGACTATCGAGGTCCTTGAGTCTGCACTCAAGGACGTCGAGAGCAACCTTCGTTCGGTAGCTGCCGCCTCTGGTACTGTGTCCCCCCCACTCTTCCACGGGTGCACAGTCCCGCAGTTACCCACCTTCACTGCCTCTCTTGCCACTGCCGCTACTGACGCGACTGCGGCTGCTGTTACGACTGCGTCGCGGTCCCGCGGCAGGGGGGGCAAGAAAGGTGGTTCCGGTGGAGGTGGAGGCGGAGGTAGCGGAGGTAGTGGGGGTGCTGTTGCGACTGGCGGTGGTGGGAGTGCAGCGTCTGGAGAGACCCCTCGTGCAGCGGCTGGTGACTCCACTGCACCTGCTGGTGGCGGCGACCCTCGAGCTCGTCAGTCGCCTCCTGTACTGCCGGCCCCGCTAGGTGGAGCAGCGACGTGGTACCAGGCTCAGCGTCAGCAGCACCTTCAGCAGCAGCAGCAGCCCCTTTCCTCCCAGCAGCCTCAGCAGCAGCAGCGTCAGCAGCTGGCTCCGGGGTCGGGGCTGCGTCAGCCCCAGCGCGGTGCTGCTTACCCTCCCTGCCCCTACCAGGTTCAGACAGGTCCTCGTCGGGGCCACCCTTGTGGCCGCTTTCACCCCCCTGGTCAGTGCTTTGCTCAGCTCACTGACACGGTCCGGTTGACCTACGGGGTTGGCGGTCCTGCTCCTGACTGGCTTCCTCTGGTTCAGCGCTACGGCTCCGCTCTGTGGGGCATGTCTGCTGAGCAGTTAGTTGATCTGATTAGTGCTCCTCATGCTATGTATGCTGTTGTTGACTCTAGTGTTTCTGACTCTGTTTACTCTGGTGTTGTTAGCTTAGGTGCTAGTCTTGCTCAGTTGCCTGTTGCTAGTGTAGGTACTTGTGTAGACTCTAGACCAGCGACTACCTCAGAGGACGCTTCGCTGTCGTTCACACTGGACTCTGGAGCCTCCCACTGCTTCTTTCGGGACAGCACGACACTTACACCACTTCCTGCGCCTGTTTCTGTGGCGTTGGCTAATCCCACTACGGGACCAGTCACTGCACGTCACACTACCACTTTACCGTGTCCTGCTGCTCCCTCCGGGTCTCTCACTGGGTTTCACGTCCCCTCGTTCTCCCGGAACTTGGTGGGCGTGCGACCCCTCGTGAGTCAGCACGTGGGTGTGTGGTTTGAGCCTTCTGGAGAGACTGCGGTGTGTGTTGACGGAGACTCTTACCAGCCTCTTGCTACCTTTACTGCTGAGCCGGGCTCGGGTCTCTACACTCTTCACACTGGCCCGCGTGCGCCGCAGCAGCAGCCGCAGCAGCAGCAGCAGCCGCAGCCGCAGCAGCAGCAGCAGCAGCAGCACCAGCGGCCGCACCAGCAGCCCCCCCTACTGCCACTGCCCCCGGTTCCCCCCCCCGTTCGGGTCCCCGCGTCTCACCAGGTTGCTACGTCCCCCCAGGTGTCTGTGTCGTGTCAGGTTCCTACGTCTGTTCCAGTCGCTGCGTCGTGCTCCTGCCGGTCGCTTGCCCACCCCACCGTTCTGTGGCACCACCGGATGGGGCACCCGTCCCTTCCACGTCTGCGCGCTATGTCTAGTCAGCGTCTTGTCCTAGGCCTCCCACGTGTCTTGCCGTCGCTGCCGCCTTCGCCTGCGCCGCCGTGTCGTCCCTGCGTCGAGGGTAGGCTGCGCGCCACCCCTCACTCCTCCTCCCTTCGTCCGGCCACCGAGCCTTTTGAGACGCTTCACTTGGACGTCTGGGGCCCAGCCCGTCGTCTAGGCCCTGAGCGTGAGCGTTACTTTCTGGTGGTCGTTGACGACTTCTCCCGCTACACCACAGTGTTCCCTCTGGCGAAGAAGTCTGAGGTGACTTCTACGCTGATCAGGTGGTTGCTCACCACTGAGGACACTCGTGGTCGTCGTGTCAGCTGTCTTCACTTCGACCGTGGGGGTGAGTTTCGCTCCGGCATTCTCGCTGGATTCTGTCGCGAGCAGGGCATTCGTCAGTCCTGGACGCTTCCAGAGTCCCCACAGCAGAATGGGGTTGCTGAGCGCCGCATAGGCCTGGTCATGGAGATCGCCCGCACCTCCCTGACTCACGCCTGTGCCCCCCATTTTCTGTGGCCCTACGCGGTCAGGTACGCCGCGCACCAGCTGAACCTCTGGCCACGTGTCTCTCGACCAGAGGTTTCACCGACCAGTCTTTGGACAGGGTCCCCTGGTGTTGCGTCGCGGTTTCGTGTCTGGGGGTGCTTGGCTCTTGTCTGCGACACCTCCGCGGACAAGCTCTCGCCTCGTGCCGTCCCCTGTGTCTTCCTTGGTTTCCCTGAGGACTCCTCTGACTTCACCTTTTACCACCCTCCCTCTCACCGGTTCTTTGACTCCCGTGACGTCCGTTTCGAGGAGTCCACTCCGTACTACGTCAGGTACCCCGGTCGAGGTCTCCCGGTTCCTCCTCCCCCCCTCTTCCTGACTGCCGTTCCCCCTCCTGCTCCCCCGGTACAGCCTCCCCCCCCTGGTCCAGCCCCGTCAGGTGTGTCCCAGGCTACCCCTCATCCTTCGGTAGCCCCTCCGGTACAGCCTCCCTCCCCACAGTCCTCCTCGCAGCGTGCCGCTGGTGCTAGCTCTCGAGAGGTTGGTGCGACGCCTGTTCCTGTACCGGTTTCTGGTTCTGGGGGTGCTGGAGTTAGAGCTGGAGTTGGAGCTGGAGTTGGAGCTGGAGTTGGCACTGGAGTTTCTGGTTCTGGGGGTGCTGGAGTTGGAGCTGGGGTTGGAGCTGGAGTTTCTGGTTCTGGAGTTGGAGCTGACCAGGTGGGTGCAGAGGACTCTTGTCGTCCGGGAGCTGGTGCTGGCCGCGCGGACACTGGGGGTGCTGCGTCTGGGGGTGAGGGTGCGCCTCCTTCTGGTTCAGGTGAGCCTGGGTCTGGAGCTGGTGTTAGTGCTGCCTCTGGGGGTGGTGAGCCTAGTTCTTCTGGAGTGGACTCTGGAGCTGCCGCTGCTTCGGACACTACTCCGCCCCCCCACCCCTACCCGACTAGGCACCAGGCTCGTGTTCGCCGTGCCCGTGACGAGCAGCTGGCGTTGGAGAGAGAGGAGAGGGAGTTACAGCGGCTGGAGGAGCAGCAGCAGCAGCTGGAGCCGCAGGAGCAGCAGCAGCAGCAGCAGCAGCAGCAGCTGGACCCGCAGGAGCAGGAGTCCCAGCAGCAGCCGCGTCCGCAGCAGCAGCAGTCACAGCCGCAGCAGCAGCAGCCACTTCCTCCTCCTGTCTCGGGTCTTCGGATCCTTGGTCTCCCCTCCCCTTCTCCTCCCTCCTCCGCCTCTCCTCCTGTCTACGGTCCCACGTTTCCTCCTCCTGACTCCTCCCCCGCTGTTTTCCCCAGTTCTCCGCCCTTGTCCTCTTCTCCTCCGTCTCGTTCTTGGGCTACTCGTCGCTCCCCTCGTGCTCGTCCCTCGTCTTCTGTTCCCTTCACTGACCTTCGTACTGCCTTCCTTCTTTCTAGTCCACCTCGTCCGTCTCAGTCTGTGCTTCCATCTCCTCCTGAGTCGGCCCTCACTGTGTCGCTCCCTACTCCTGTCACTGACTACTACCGCACGTACCGTCCTGTTCTCTCTCGTGTTCTCGCCTCTCTTGTTACTCACCCTCGTGCCTCTGTGTCCTCTGTGTCCGCTCTTACTGCCGCAGTTACTGACTTTGCCTCTACCCGCCGCCTTGACTACGCCACCACGCTTGTGGCTGCTCCTCCTACCAGTCCTCTGGCCGTCGGGGGTGTGTCTGCCCTTGGCTGTGACGCCCTAGAGGACAGGCAGTTTGAGCTAGAGTTCCTGGCGGCCGCTTCCCCTCATCTCTGTGCCATGCTCCTCGCCCCTGAGGGTGACCCCGACGCCCTTGACATTCCGACTCCTCGCACTTACGCTGAGGCAGTGTCAGGGCCTTGGGCCTCTCAGTGGAGAGCTGCCATGGACGCAGAGATGGCCTCCTACAGATCCACAGGCACCTACGTCGATGAGGTTCCCCCCCCTGGGGCGAACGTAGTCGACGGCATGTGGATCTACAGGGTGAAGCGGCCACCGGGATCTCCCCCGGTCTTCAAGGCGCGCTACGTGGCTAGAGGTTTCAGTCAGCGTGAGGGAGTTGACTTCTTTCAGACCTTCGCACCTACCCCGAAGATGACCACTCTTCGGGTGTTACTACACGTAGCAGCACAGAGAGACTACGAGTTACACTCTCTCGACTTCTCCACTGCTTTCCTTCAGGGCAGCCTACACGAGGAGGTCTGGTTGCGTCGTCCCTCGGCGTTCACTGGCACCTTCCCTCCTGGGACCCAGTGGAGGCTGAGGCGACCTGTTTACGGTCTTCGCCAGGCCCCTCGTGAGTGGCACGACACTCTGCGTTCTACCCTCTCTGACCTTGGGTTCCAGCCGTCTTCTGCCGACCCGTCGCTGTTCGTTCGTCGTGGCTCCACACCGTTCTTTGTTCTGGTTTACGTCGACGACCTAGTTTTCGCCACTCCGGACAGGGTTGCTTTGGCAGACGTGAAGTCCGAACTGCAGAAGAGACACACGTGCACTGATCTTGGTGAGCTGCGGCACTACCTTGGCCTGCAGATCACCAGGGACAGAGCCGCTCGCACCATTACACTCTCACAGTCACACATGGTGCAGCAGGTCCTTCAGCGGTTCGGGCTTCAGCACTCCACCGTACAGCGCACACCTCTCGCTGTTGACCACAGACTCACTGGTCCCTTTCCTGACGAGCCGTTTGAGCCTAGTGGTCCCTACGCAGAGCTTGTGGGTTGCCTCATGTACCTGATGACTTGTACTCGCCCGGACCTCGCCTTCCCTCTCAGCATCCTTGCGCGCTTTGTTGCGCCAGGGAGACACCGTCCTGTTCACTGGACGGCAGCTGTGAGGGTGGCGAAGTACCTAGCGACTACATCAGGCGTGGGGCTAGTTCTTGGAGGGCAGCAGTCTGTCGTACTCACTGGTCACTGTGACTCCTCTTACGCTGACGACGCTGAGACTCACAGGTCTACTCAGGGGTACTGTTTCAGTCTGGGTTCTGGAGCTGTTTCCTGGCGTTCCACGCGCTCCTATTCTGTCTCGACCTCTACAGCTGAGGCTGAGATTTACGCTGGTGCCATGGCGGCACAGGAGTTGCGGTGGTTGACCTTCTTGCTCGCCGACCTTGGTGAGCGGCCGAGCTCTGCACCGACCTTGTTTACTGACAACAAGGCGTCGATCCTCCTCTGTCGTGAGCCGCGACTGGAGAGCAGAGTGAAGCACATTCACGTCAGGTACTTTCTTCTGCGAGAGTTGCAGAGGCGTGGACAGGCTCGCTTCGAGTTTGTAGAGTCCGAGGCCAACACTGCAGACATCTTCACCAAGACGCTTCCGCCTTGTGACCACCAGAGGTGTTGTGTGCAGTTAGGCCTTGTTGACACAGGTTCTAGTCATGCGTAGACTTGAGTTTATTGCCTGCTTCGTTTGTACTTTTACTATATATACTTGTGATCTCTTGGACTGGCCTTGTGGCCACTGTTGCTTGTGCTCAGAGTGTGTGGTGACGTTGTGATCCACCCTGAGCTTTGTTTTCTTTTGGATTGGTCTTGTGACCGTACTCTTTTTTGTTTTTTGCTAGACACCCCTCACTTAGGCTATGGGGGTGTGTCAAATGTTGTAGCCTGTAGTGAGGTTTGTCTTAGGGGGTACAGAAGTTAGGGTTTGTCATATGTACCCCAACCAACATCAATGGCACACTCATTCCTCATTCTGACACCTGCTTCCTCAAGAAACATCTGTTCAGGCAGCATTTTGAGTTGACTTGCAAAAACACATTGCTAGCTGCAGAGCGGTAGTGATACCTGGTGATAAGAGCGTGTTCCTACGCCTCGTAACGAGAACCTCATATCAGGCTCACACTGAAAATTCCCCTAAACCCGAAACCTCTTGCTAGTTTTACCAGGAAAAAGGTACATTCTTGATATGAGGTTTTCTGATGAGGCTGTAGGAACACACCCTAATGTTTTCTTTAATGCAGTTCAGTGGCAAGCCTAGGTGGCCAAACATGTCTGGTGCAAGCCCATTTCACTGCTGAGCTCTGTAGATTCTCTATATATGGGTTACCATTCCATATTTTTGCTTTACAAGCATTGCTGGACCTAGATAGCTGCTGCTGCAAACTCACTGCACTGCTTAGAATAACAATCATTAAGACTTATCTGGAATTCCTTTTTCTTCCATTAATTTACTCCATTAAGTTGAAACAACAAAACTGAAATTGTAATAATAATAATAATAATGAAGTCGTACAGAGAAAATCTAACTCCATCTTCGATTCCTACGTATCAACTTCATAAACTTCTAGAACTGTAGAGAAGTCTTCAAGTGGGATCTTCTTTACTGGAACTTGGATTATGCACCTTGGTCTTCAGTCTTCGCATGGACTGTCAGAATGTAATGTTTGTCTAGCCTGCAGTGGGGTACTGTATAGTAAGTACAGCCCGAATTAGGGTTTGCTATATGTATCTCAACTACTGCTAGTGAAAAGCACTCTTTCTTGATTCTGATTTTTGCCTAGCCTTTCAACATGCTATCAGAACAGGTCGACCCTCCTGGGTCGATCCTGTGGGTGGGCCCCACCCGATGCTTCCGCTGCTCTACTGCCTGTAGCGCGAGCGCGCGGCGGTTTTCTGCCCTGCCTGCTGCGCGCCCCGAGGCGCGCGGCGGTTTTCTGGCCCGTCGATCCGCGCGTCGCCCCCCGTCGCCCGTCGCAGCGCCCCCGGGGACCCCCGCGTCGCCCCCCGTCGACCGTAGCGGCCCGCGTGACATGCGTTAGGCCCGCGCGTGGCCCGTTCAGCCCGCGCGCGGCCCGTACAGCCTGCGCCAGGCCCGCGCGCGGCCCGTACGGCCTGCGCCAGGCCCGCGCGCGGCTCGTACGGGCTGCGCCAGGCCCGCGCGTGGCCTGTACAGCCCGCGCGCGGCCCGTACAGCCCGCGCGCGGCTCAGGCAGCCCGCGCGCGGTTCGTCCGGCCTGCGCGAGGCCCATGAGCGGCCGGTACCGTATGCCCCTGTGCCGCACGCCGTCCCCCCCGCTTCCTACTGCGCCCCACCCCCGCTGCTGCACGCGCTCCTGTGTTAGGGTTTGGGGTTGGAGAGTATGGGGGTGCCGTGCGTGTGAGCCGTCCCCTGCTCCTCCTCCTCCTCCTCCGTCTCCCGCTGCTGCAGCTGCCGCTGAGGGGGGTGGATGTGTTGGAGCCGTCGGAGTTGTACGAGGGGGGTGGCGTGTGAGCAGTGCTAGAGGTGCAGCAGGGAGTGTGTGACAGGGGTGTGGGACAGCTGGGGGAAGTTGAGTGGAGGCACTCGTCTTGTCGTCCGCAGCGCCTGAAGTCCAGAGAGCCACGACCCCCTGTGGCCTGAGTAGTCCGGGGCTCTGCGCCCGGTAGCCACAGTGTGTGCACTCCTGGGAGCACAGTGAGCCAGCTGCGTCTGTCGCTGTGTAGTCCGGGTTTAGCCTGGTAGCGACAGTACTGCGCACTCCTGCTGCCTGTGTGTCTGCAGCTTCAGCCGTCGCCTCCCATCTTCTCGCCCTCACAGTTTCTCCTCCTCCTCACTTGCCCTCTGTGACTGCCTCTAGCTTTGCTTATAATTGTGAACTACTGCTCTGCCTGCTTGTTGTGCTGATTATACCCCACTTTGACTATGGGGGTGTGTCAGAATGTAATGTTTGTCTAGCCTGCAATGGGGTACTCTATAGTGAGTACAGCCCGAATTAGGGTTTGCTATATGTATCTCAACTGCTGCTAGTGAAAATCACTCTTTCCTGTTTATCGTTTTAGCCTTCTGTTTCAACATGGACCCCTCTTGGCCGCTAGAGGACAAGCCTCTAGCATTCACCCTAACACCACGATGAGGTGGAGGTCCTTCGTTAGGGAACATGCAAGAAAAACACTAAAACAAACATGAGGGACGGTTAGGATTAAATTAAATGCCAGCGAGCAGGGAACACCTCGGAGCTTGAAGTAGCTTCTCTGTTGTCAGGTTGTCAGATTGCCGCGGTGAGCCACAAAAAGTGGCGGGAGTAAAGAGGAGGAGGGAACCCAACCCACCCAGTCGCGTCGCGTCCCCATCACCTACCCACCCAGTCGCGTCGCGTCCCCATCGCCTACCCACCCAGTCGCGCCGCGTCCCCATCGCCTACCTACCCAGCCCACACCGCCCTCGTCCGTCCATTCTGTGGCTGATCTAATGCTCCTACGATCTGATCTAACGCTCCTAAGCGGCCCACCGGTTACCATGTGCTGCTGTTGCAATTGTTGCTCCACCTTCTGAGAAAGGGAAGGAGTGGAAGGGGGGAGTCAAGCTCCTTGCATCTCCTTGTTGCTTTGCGCCGTTCCTTAGCTCCCAACTTCCTGCACCACAGAGAACGACTTAAAAGGACGTAAGTAAGTGATCTCGATAAGAATAAGAATAACAAGCGGAGCAATAATAAAGCTGAAAATAAACTGAAAGAAACAATGAAGATGAAGAGAAAAAAACCATGCGCGTCGTGAGATGGGAGAAGTGCCGTCCGACGGCAGAGATTCCGCCACCATGTGCCACGAGAGAAGGACCACCATTCCGCCGCGAAGATTGCGCCGTAAAGTTGTGCTCCTCGCTACACCCGCTTCACACACCACCAGCGCGACTCCTCCTGGAATCCTCCTGCTGAACGCACCAAGAATAAACGAAGTAAGTAAGTGATCTCGCGGAAGATAAGAATAAGAAACGAACAAGTGGAATAATAATAAAGCTGCGGAAAGAAACGATAACGAAGAAGAGAACTAAAACCGTGCGCCGTGTGGCGTGCGATGGGAGAAGCGCCGGCCGACGGCAGAGATTCCGCCACCATGCGCCACGCGAGAAGGACCACCATTCCGCCGCAAAGATCGCGCTGTGAAGTTGTGCTCCTCGCTCCACCTGCTTCGCATACCACCAGCGTGACTCCTCCTGGCTCTCCCTCCTGCTGAACGCACCAAGAATAAACGAAGTAAGTAAGTGATCTCGAGAAGGATACGAATAAGAAACGAACAAGCGGAATAAAAATAAAGCTGAAAGAAACGATGACGAAGAAGAGAACTAGAACCGTGCGCCGTTCGTCGTGCGATGGGAGAAGCGCCGTTCGACGGCAGAGATTCTGCGACCATGCGTCACACGAGAAGGACCACCATTCCGCCGCGAAGATCGCGCCGTGAAGTTGTGGTCCTCGCTACACCGGCTTTGCATACCACCAGCGCGACTCCTCCTGGACTCCTCCTGCTGAACGCACCAGGAATTAACAAAGTAAGTAAGTGATCTCGAGAAGGAAAAGAATAAGAAACGAACAAGCGGAATAGTATTAAAGCTGATAAAAGCTGAAAGAAACGATGACGAAGAAGAGAAATGAAACCGTGCGCCGTGCGTCGTACGATGGGAGAAACGCCATCCGACGGCAGAGATTCCGCCACCATGCGCCACGCGAGA